GAATGGCTACTCCTGCTTGCTTCTTGGGTCCATTTGCTTGGAAAGTCGTCTTCCAACCCTTTACCCTCTTCGTGCCTTAGGTGTGTTTCTTTCATGCAACAGATTGCTGGGTTTTGTTTACACATCCATTCTGTTAATCTGTGTCTTTTTATTGGAGAGTTGAGTCCATTGAGGTTGAGAGAGATTAATGACCAGTGGCTGTTAGATCCTTTGATTTTGATGTTGGCTGTGGTCATAATGTTGTGTGCTTGGTTCCTTTTTGTTTTACTGTAGTAAGGTTAATTATTTCCTGTGTTTTCTTGAAAGTAGCTAATTTTCTTGGGTTGTATTTTCCCTTCCAGTGTCTTCTGTAATGCTGGATTTGTGTGTAGGTATTGTTGAAATTTGTTTTTGTCATTGAATATCTTGTTTTCTCCATCTATGAGGACTGAGAGTTTTGTGGGATATACTAGCCTGGGCTGACATCTGTGTTCTCTTAGGGTCTGCATGATATCTGTCCAGGCCCTTCTGGCTTTCATAGTTTCTGTTGAAAAGTCAGGTGTGATTCTAATGGGTTTGCCATTATATGTTACTTGGCCTTTTTCCCTTGCAGCTTTTAGTATTTTTTCTTTGTTCTGTATACTTACTGTTTTGATTATTATGTGGCGGGAGGATTTTCTTTTCTGGTCAAATTTGTTGGGTGTTCTGTAGGCCTCATGTATTCTTATTGGCTTCTCCTTTAACTTGGGGAAATTTTCTTCTATGATTTTGTTGAAAATATTTTCTGGGCCTTGGAGAAGGGAGTCTTCTTTTTCCTCTATACCTATTATTCTTAGGTTTTGTCTTTTCATATTGTCTTGGATTTCTTGGATGGTCTGTGTCAGGAATTTTTTGGATTTAACATTTTCTTTGACAGATACATCGATTTCTTCCATTGTATCTTCTACATCTGAGATTCTTTCTTCCATCTCTTGTAATCTGTTGGTTATGCTTACCTCTGTAGTTCCTGTTTTCTTCCCTAAATTCTTCCTCTCCATTATTTCCTCCATTTGTGTTTTCTTTAATTTTTCTAGTTCTATCTTCAGGTCTTGCGTTGTTTTGTTTACTTCCTTCACCTGTCTGATTGTATTTTCCTGTTTTTCTTTTAGTTCCTTCAACTCTGTTTCTTTTATTTCTTTCAGTGATTTAATTATTTCTTCTCTGAAGGCCACAAACTGTTTGGCTGCATCTTCCCATATTTCTTCAAGGATGGCCATAATCTGCTTGTCTTTAACTTCCTCCATTTCTTTATGGAGAGCCATGATCTGTTTGGTTTTATCTTCCTCTAATTCTTTACGTATTTTATTTGTTTCCTCTATTATCCTCTTCATCAGCATAGATGTAAGGTCATCTTCTTGATTTTCTATTATCAGGATTTGTTTAAGTTAATTAAAATAACAAAAAAATTCAGATACAATTTTGGCCAGGCCTGGCGGAACATGCCTGCCTGTAATCCCATACTGTGGGAGTTAAAGGACTGTCCCAGCTTCCCAATTACCCTGGGCAAGTCCTATGACAACCTGTGCTGTGTAGCTACATAGCCTGCTTCCATTTAACACACATAGACATACAACTGTTACATTATATATCTAAATTAAGTATCCAAATTCTGACTCCCTTTAAAAAAACAAAGAGATGAACTGAACATATGTACAAAAACACCAACCTGAATCAAAACTTATAAGGTAAAAGGTGGAAAAATACCACACTGCAATGACAAGACATATATTATTCAAACAAAAGCCTGAGTCTTGCTTTCTACTTTTGTTTGCTTAAAAACTTAGTGTGAACACATCCAAGTTGTTTCAGAACCTAAATGCCTGAGCCCAAGCTAGTTTGCAAAGCACAACAACGACGGCACTTGCTCCAAGGCATGTAGTATGACTGACGTATCAATTACTGGAGTGTGAAAGGGGAGGCTGGATGTGTAATCCCAGTAATCCAGGGGCAGAGGCAGGCAGATTTCTGTGTGTTTAAGGCCAGCCTGGTCAACACAGTGAGTTCCAGGAGTCAGGGCTATACTCTAAAACTCCCTGTCTCAATAAATTGTAGATTAGTTAATTGTTTAAAAAGAGTGAACACGGCTGGGGCTATGGAATAAGAATAAGCTACAAACCAGTCCTTTAAATCAGCTACCTGTCTGCCTCATGGGTAAGAATCTGTAGTAAGCCTGTGCCTCCTACCCTTTGCCATGCACCAAAATGCATGTTCTTGTTAAACTCAATTTCGGCCTATTGGCTGTTTCCTATAAAAAGTATTTGACCTCACTTTGTCTTTTAACTCAAGGATATTTGTTAAGAACAACAACAAAATCACAACCTCAAATACTAATATAGCCAAATCATAAGTTAAAGGCGACTAAATCAGATCAGAACTCTCCCATCTCTTTATCCCATGGGGTTAAGACTTCAGTCCTCACTCAGTCTCAAGGAGTCCCCCACCCCCACCCCGTGGAGCACTGCCAGTTCCCTGCACTCTGTATTTACCTCATCCCTTCTCCAGAGAAAAGCTGCTAGTCGCATTTTCTAGTGACTCTTGCAAACCCCTCTTGAAACACTGGGCCAATGCCTGGATTCTCATTCTAGCACTAACTCCCCACTCCCTTCAGTTTTGCATTCAGACCTTTCCTGGCTTTGTGCAGCCCATCATTCTGACTTCCAGTCTCTAAGATTCAGAGTCGACATCAGCTCCTTAGTAGTTCAGGAGAATAAAAGAACTAAGTTTAAAGATGAGAAGCCTATGCCTCACATTGTGAGAGATTTGAAAGAAACACCAGTCCGGACTTCAGCGATTTAACATTCCTTTCGTAGAGCAGAGTCATCTGTGCTCCACAGTTCCAAAAAGCACCGCTCAACTTTAAAATGTTTCAAGAGCTCGTTCACAAAGAACACAGCATCAACCCTTGACTTCATGTGTGTTGTGCTTTCAGGTGCAGACACGCTTAGCTGATTCCCAACCTTCTATGCAGCCTTCAAAGTTTATGCTTTTTCTCTTTCATTTTAAAACCAGTATCACGTAATTTCTACTACCAAAAGATATCTACTTAAACATAGTTTTTAAAACAGTAAAAGGAAATTCATAGGGAGAAAATATTTTATTAAAAGATTAGTTTGCCCCCTAAGGGTAGGTATAAAAACCCCAAAACCCAAACCAAACAAAAAACCTGGGCTTTTGTTGTATAGGGGGGTAGGAGAGGGAGGTCTCCGGACAAAACTAAGTCATCAGGGTTGGTGACTGGCATCTTTGTAAGATGGGCTATCTTGCTGGCCCAAAACTCAAGAGAATCTTTAATACCCAACTGAAGGTAAGAAAATAAGGCTGGACAGAAATGGTGAAAAACTCTGGAGGGTAAACTGTCCCCTCTATCCTGTCCTCAAATGGGACATCAAAACAAACCCAAAAGGTATTCTTCCATGGATGTAAGATATATTTGCCCTTCCCTGACAAAAGAAATGACATATTAGCTACTTTAATTTTTTTTTTTTTTAAACTGGGCATGTGGAGAGTGAGGTAGGAGAATCGTGAGTAATATGCCAGCTTGGGCTATACAACAAAATCAGGTCCTGGGATATATACTGAGACCCTATCTCAATAAGAAAGCAATCCAGAAACTTCTTTCAAACCAAGACCAAGTTATTTAAAATAAAGAACTAAAGAATTAATCCAGCAAAAGTGCAGCTGGCTAGCTTTGAGTCCATTAAATGTAAAGCCTGGCTTTTTAAAAAGTTGGGATTATTGACTACAGAGTAAAATAGAAATATATAGATTTTAACAGTGTAAAAAGAAAAATATTAGGGTTGCAGAGATGACTCAGAGATTAAGAGCACTGTCTGCTCTTCCAGAGGTCCTGAGTTCAATCCCCAGCACCCACATGGTGGCTCACAACCACCCATAATGAGATCTGGTGCCTTCTTCTGGCCTGCAGGCAGAACACTGTATACATAATAAAATATTTTTAAAAAAAGAAAACTATTAACAAACATTAGTAAGTCAGAGGGAGCAGAGTTGAAAATGAATATATACAGTTAATTTCCCCATCTTTCAAAGCAAAAGCAAATGAAAACAGGGGCGTCCAAAAACTTCCTCATTAATTAGTGTTTTCATAACTCAACACTTGAGATAATATTTCCTAAAGAGCTCTTGATCTGAGATGTTCATAAGAATAATCCCCTTAGATGCTTATCAGTTTCTTCTTCTGTTAAGTTCAAATAAATTAAGCACAATGCTTCTCCCTACAAGATGACACTGTATTGCCCACTAAGCCATCCACACTTCATCTGCAGAAATAATGAAAGTGAGGTCACCTCACATTCACTTCTGAGTGGTAAGATGGGGCACCTTGTACTTTAATTTACACTTTGCAGTGCGGTTCAGATTATTTGCAAAACACATGAATCAGTTCTTAAAGATGTATCATGTGAGAAAATATGCTGAAGGTTTTTCACATATTCAAGGCAAGCCTTTAATATTTCAAAAAAGTGCTGATCACCATCACCACGTGTGTCTCTAGAACTCTTCAGGGCTAATGCCCACCAAAGTGAGACACAATAGACCTATGGTTGCAACAGCTGCCAACTTTCTAAATATGGCTGAAACACTCACAAAAGAGGACTTAACTGTGACTGGCCTCTGCTCTCTGAGCACTCACCAGGCGTCTGCACTCACTACAACTATCACACAGTATTATTATTTCTATGTTATACTTAGGTATTTTGATGCAATAAATTGAGATATAAAAACACTATTTTAAAAACAATTTTATATTTTAAAAGCAATTTCTTGTTAAACATAAGGTTTAACTCTCAAATGCTGTGAAATCAAAGTAATGTGTCCAAAGAAAAAGAGAAAGAGGCTAAATAGCCACCAATTTAAAACATTCATCTGTTATTAAAAAATAAAAAAAATAAACACTCATCTGTGAATCAAAACCTACTAAATTTCATGTGCGAACAAAGATGTTATAGTAAAAATACAACACATACCAACAGAGGTGCTTTCATTGTCTTAATAAACATGTGAATATTCAGTGTAGTCAGTGGCTGTTCCATTAGTGTTCTTCTACAATACTCGGTCAAGTCCAAGACCAGTTCACAGTGAAAAAAGTAGAGATGTGCACGTCCCATATTCTCAGAGCTGCAAATTGAAAACCAGAAGAGACAATGAAAATTCTATGAGTAATCCTCTTATAATCTGAAAGGACAGACATTTGCTTAGCTCTCATGTACTGAATTACTGTTTTAATAAAAACCTGAGTTAACTTTAAAAGTAAAATCAACTTGGACAAAAAAGACAGAAAATACTTAAGAAAACTGGGCTTAATATCTGAACAAACTCATCAAACTCTTACACATTAACATCTAGATTAGGTTATAGGTTTCAATGAAAGACTCACAGATGAGATTATCTTTAAATATAGTTGCTTTTCTAGAGATATAATTTGTGATACAAATTTTCTAAGTTTAATTTAAACCTAACTCTGTTTTGAATAAACTTTAGCTAAAGTATGCCTTAAGAGAGAGAACCATGAATTAGCTATGGGAGTTTACAAGTTTGTATCTGAAAAATTACAAAAATGAGCAAATATGGTTTATAATTTAAGTTTTGGCTTTATTTCAATATGAGATCTTAAATTTACAGTGAAGGTAAGTTTTGTCAAAATTTAAATGGCATTTTAAAAATCTCCCTGTAGCATCTGCTTTGATACCCTGCTGGGTAGAGTCTTTCAGGGGCCCTCTGTGGTAGGCTCCTGTCCTGTTCCCTGTTTTCTCCCTCTTCTTATGTCCATCCTCTTTGCCTTTCTGAATGAGGATTGAGCATCTTACCCAGAGTCGTCCTTGACTAGCTAGGTGTACAGATTTTATACGTTTATCTTACATTATATGTCTAATATCCACTTATAAATGAGTATATACCCTGTGTGTCTTTCTGCTTCTGGGATACCGCACTCAGGATGATCTTTTCTAGATCCCTCCATTTGCCTGCAAATTTCACGATTTCCTTGTTTTTAATTGCTGAGTAGTATTCCATTGTGTAAATGTACCACAATTTCTGTATCCTTTCCTCAACTGAGGGGCATCTGGGTTGTTTCCAGCTTCTGGCTATTGCAAATAAAACTGCTACAAACATAGTTGAGCAAATGTCCTTGTTGTATACTTGAACATCTTTTAGATATATGCCTAGGAGTGGTATACCTGGATCTTGAGGTAGCACTATTCCTAATTGTCTGAGAAAGCGCCAAATTGATTTCCAAAGTGGTTGTACAAGTTTACATAACCACTAGCAGTGGAGGAGGGTTCCCTTTCTCCACACCTTCTCCAGAATGTGTTGTCACTTGAGTTTTTTCTTAGCCATTCTGATGGGTATAAGGTGAAATCTCGGAGTCGTTTTGATTTGCATTTCCTTGATGACTAAGGACGTTGAGCATTCCTTTAAGTGTTTCTGTACCATTCGATATTCCTCTATTGAGAATTCTCTGTTTAGCTCTGTACCACATTTTTTAATTGGATTCTTGATTTGTTGCTTTTTAACTTAAGTTCTTTATATATTCTGGATATTAGCCCTCTGTCAGATATAGAGTTGGTGAAGATCCTTTCCCAATCTGTAAACAGTCGTTTTGTTCTGACAACAGTGTCCTTTGCTTTACAGAAGCTTTTCAGTTTTACGAGATTCCCAGATGCTGAGACTCATAGCCAAACTTTGGGCAGAGTGCAGGGAATCTTATGAAAGAAGTGGGAAATAGTAAGACCTACAGAGGACAGAAGCTCCACAAGGAGAGCAACAGAACCAAAATATCGCGGGGCACAGGGGTCTTTTCTGAGATTGATACTCCAACCAAGGACCATTCATAGAGATAACCTAGAACCCCTGCACAGATGTAGCCCATGGCAGTTCAATATCCAAGTGGGTTCCATAATTAATGGGAGCTGGGACTGTCTCTGACATGCATTGATTGGTCTGCTTTTTGATCACCTCCTCCTCAGGAGGGAGCAGCCTTACCAGGCCACAGAGAAAGACAATGCAGCCACTCCTGATGAGACCTGATAGACTAGGATCAGAAGGAAGGGAGGAAGACCTCCCCTATCAGTGTACTGGGGGAGGGGATGGGTAGAGAAGAGGGAGGGAGAGTGGGATTGGGAGAGGAGGAGGGAGGGAGCTACAGGTAAATAACAAAGTGGATAAACTGTAATTAATAAAAACAATTTTTAAAAAGAATGGATAAAGAAAAAAAATCTCCCTGTAGTACTAATGGAGTTTTATAAAATATTGCAATACTTATTTTTAAAATATTGTGTATAGCTGAGTAGTCACTGATTTCTAGTTTAATTACAGTGTGATTTCTAAGAGTCAGTCATTAAAGGAACAATCATACTTACTTAATGAACCTGTTAAAGCTCTATGCTACTTTAAAAACAGGACTCAGAGACCCCTTAGCTAAAATGGACCTGGATGTCTCCTCTCTGAGGACTAGCTTTCATGGTATCGAAGGAACCTCATAAGCTTTCAAAAGAAGGCGGCAACCAACAATCCTACCCAGCTGTAATATCTGTGATTTACATCAATGACCAGCATAACAATATAACCCTAAAGGTGGTCCACATACCTTGGCACTAACCAACCACTCTCTAATTGGACCTAAGATCCACTCCACAAGAAGACAACCACACCTGGGCCTAGAAACCTAGCTACCTACTCAGTGCTAGTAAAATCATGGTTTCTGGAGAAGAATCTATAACCACTAATTTCCTAAACAAGCATAACCCCTATCAACATTTGTCCTTGTACCCACAGATAAATGTAATCTTCATCCTTCAACAAGGAAACTTCTCTTTGCAGCAGAAAGAGACCACAACTAAAAACCACAACCAATCAAAATGCAGAGTTGAAGAGCCCAATACCAATCTACAAAAACCTCCCACACCAAAGACTCAGTGAACATTGCAGAAAGAGGGGGCAGGAAGATCAGGGAGGTTGCTGTGAGGTTTTCTCTTGTAGTAATATCAGAAGCTACACATAAAAGTCTCAACATGACTGCCCAAATGTGAACTGAACAAGGATGACACCGATGAACATGCCAAACTAGATGAAGAACAGCCCTTGAGGCCTCAACCAAAGAGTGCTGGCGTGGGAGAGGTGATCCTCCCCAGGGAAGAACACAGTAAATGGTTATCCAGTGTCAAATGATCAGCCCTGAAAACATACATACAAGTAACATTACATAGACTCAACAGGTTATATTTAGGAATATATATGCATACATAAATACATATATGCATGCCATAACAGTAAGAAAAAGAGGCCATGAATTTGAAGAATGGGAAAAGATACATGGTGGGGCTTAGAGGGAAGACAAGGAATGGCGAAATTTGCAAGTTTCTTTTAGCTCTGGCTGTCCTGGAATTCACTCTGTAGACCAGGCTGGCCTCGAACTCAGAGATGCACTTGCCTCTGCCTCCCCAGTGCTGGGATTAAAAGTGTGCACCACCACCATTTCACTATGTTGTAATTAAATTTAATCTCGAAAATAAACAAAAGCTCTACATTAAACAATAAAAGTAAGTAAGATTACTTGAATCCTTTAAGGACTTAAGCAGAAAGAGGTGTATTAGGGGAACAACTAAAGCAAAGTTTACAAACTATAATATACAAGCTGTCATGAGGAACAAAGAAATAATTCATTCTGCCTCAAGTTGGGAAGAAGGAAGAGAGAGAGGGAAAGTCACAGAGCTCACACAGAAAGGGGAGGAACACAAAATATTTGCAGGAAGGAAGAATAAATGTACATTTCAAAGGAAAGCAATCAGTATATAGCAAAGACCCAAAGAAAGTGCATTATCTCACTGAGGGGTAACTCTAGACCACTTGCTGTCCACTGCTGAAAGCAAAGTGCTCAGCACTGGACATCCTTATTAGGGGTGTACTTCATATCAAAGGCTCTCATGAATTAAAGCTGGAAAGCTACTTTAATCAGGAATCCTATGTGTGCTGCTCACAGAGAACCAAAGAGAGTCTATTGTTTATTGTAAGTTTAAAAAAGTATGTCACAGAAAACAAGAAAAAGTCAACGATGGGCTGAAAAAAGCATCGAGAATCCATGGAGAACTGAACAGAGTTTTCAAGGCACAGAGAACTTTGCTTCAGGATCAACATTTTTCCATCCCCAATGAAACTGTTTTTCTTGTAACTGGCCTGAAACCTAAAGAAGTATAAGATCTCTGGCCTTTAAACAATGGTTTATGGGAAAGCAAATGCCTAGGATGTCCGGAGAGGACAGCAAGAGGGCACATGAGAAACTCCGGCACACCAGAAAACTCATGGTATTTTGCCCTGCTTTAGATTAATTTTCACGGGAGAACACTGGTTACTTGTGATTTTAAGTACTAAAGGAAAAAAAAAATTACTCTAGATTGACCCTCTCCCACCAAAAGCACTTAAAAGTGGGCTTTTATCTAGAACTGTAAGTTATGAATTAGACAAAAAGAAATTTAAAACATTTTGTTCAAAGGCTTCTTAAGTACATTTAGAATCATGATGACAAAGTGATTTACCCTCAAAAGACTCTCTGGAGACTAATTATGAAACGATTACTTAACCCCCATGGGACCACTACAGGCATATTTCTAAATCCCTCCTATAGCCATCATGACACTATCATTTGGCTTATCTACAGACTTGTTCACCCCAAATTACAATTATATCTGTGTAATGTCATAGTGTGGCTTACAAGAGAGTTTTAAAGGCATTCCTGGTTTCCCTATTTACAACTCTGTATAATTCCTTCAGAAAAATTTAAATTGTGATAGTGATGAAAATGTTAACTAAGTAACGTGAAATATGTCAACAACAGAAAATCAAAATGTTGACCTGGGCCTCTCAATACATACCCGGTATTTTCTAAAAGGGCAATTTCAGTGGTTACGGCAAACTGATATGAGGTCCCATACACAAAAGCGGCTTCCATGACTGCCCTGTGCTCTAAAGAGGAGACAGGAAAATAGTTAACATGTGACTCCATAGAAACTTTTGTTGTAAATATTATCCTAACACTTTTATTACTTATTACATTTAAGGAAATATACAAAGGAAAGATGGTTCAGTAGTTAAGAAAACTTACTGTTCTTCCAGAGGACCTGAGTCCATATCCCAGAACCCACATGGGGCAGCTTGTAACTTTAGCTCTGAGGGAAGTTAACACCCTCTTCTAGCCGCCTCATACACTCACACACACTGCATACTCTCATACAGACATATACATATGAATAAAAATAAACCTTAACATTTTTAAAGTATATTTTATTCAAGTTTATAAAGGTACTGAGATATTAGAAAATGAGTTATCCTTGAATACTCTTGTAACATGCAAATGTGTAATTGTTTATTAGTGAGACGTGTGTATGAATTCACAAGTTTCATATATTTATATGTGCATTATTTTTTACCAAATTTTATGAAACAATTCAGCAAGGCATATTAAGAAAAAAAGAAACCATTCCCCTACTTTCTATCCCATCTACTCAAGACAGAACACTTCTAATTCATTATTTCTATTTGTGTTTATCTGGAAGCCTGCAAATGTCATTCTTATCCCCTTATTTCCTGATACTTACTATCAACACAGACATGCAGATATGCAAATGTAGATGTCAGATAAATAAAGTTACTGCTCTATTTGATGATGCCCCACTGTGGAAGAAAACAGACTACATCTCTTTTCTGAAACCCAGCTCTAGATATGTACACTCCTCACACTCCCCAAGCTCTTCTGGTATGGTTCTAATTTTTATTACTTCTCATTCAGTATTTGCACTATGCTTTCTATGAGCCATAGAGAGCAGAACAGTGGATCACTCCTCTTTATAGACATACTTGTTTTTACTGCAATTGTAACTATTTCTTTGTTTTCTTTAGACTTTTCTTTTTAAATACACTTGCTCTTCCTTGCCAAGTCTTCAAATGTATCAGGTACATTATCTAGTCTATCATCCTGGAGATGCCTGTCAGAGCATGTTGGTCTAGTCATCATCTTTTGATAGCTGGTCACTCTGCACCTACAATCAGGAAGCAGAATGATAAAGGCTGATGCTCAGCTCACTTTCTCCATCTCCCTTTGCATTCAGCCCAGGAGCCTGCCCCATGGAGCGAAGGGACCCATGTTTACAGATGGTCTTTCCTCTTAAGTTAAATCTCTCTGGAAAGACTCTCAAGAGATGAGCCCAAAAGTGTGTCTTCCAGGTAACTCTAAATCCAGACACACTGATCACAGTCACGTTATAATCCTCCAGTTGCACCCCTCCTAGAAATTTTCGGAATAGTTTTCACTCCTCATATCCTGGGTGTGGCTCTGTAATGACTTCAGTCTAGAAGCCTGAGTCCTTCCGCTCAGGAAATTTCTTACTCGCTCTTCACTATGTGTTGTGCTCTCTTTTGGCATAACTGCTATTTCCAGACAGCTGTCTTTGCCTCCCGGCTTAATCCCTCTGCACCTGAATTTCATTTCAGTTTACTCATGCAACACACCACCCCCCCATTACACCTGCCACTGCAGCCAGGGCTATCCTGGCACCCTCATCTCACTTCTGTCACTCTCTCCAGCACAACTGTCATAATCCTTGGTAGTTTTACTATCCATATGAATGAGCGCTTCAAAATCCACCCCTCATCTAGCTTTCTCTGTTCCAACACTACTACTCACTGCTGTGGTCACAACAGCTTTTTGAGGTTCCTCACTGCACTCTGATCTTTGCTTCCCTCCTAATCAAGTCTGGGTTACCTGGTCAATGTTCATAACTATAACCACTCCTAGTGGGCTTGCACATGGTTTATGTTCAGTCCAGTACTCTCCCCATTCTGCACCTACACCCATGAAAATAAACTCTGCCAGAGGAAAAATAAAACCTGTTAGCTAACAGTCTCATTTGCAATTGCTGGTATCAAATATTATTTCTGCCTAGCAATCGCTGTGTTTTAAATGTTCTTGTTTATTTGCTTTTACATTTTTGAGACACAGTTTTGTTATGTATCTCAGCCTGGCCTCAAATGGCAGCCCAGCCCTAAGAGTACAAGGGTGAGCAACCATGCTTAGTAGAAACCCTTCTTTATTTCCAGACCTCCTAAATGATTGTTTCATCACTTTTTTCCTCTTCTCAAATTGAGATTTCATTGCTATTCCAATATACTATTTTGTTAATAATATAGACTCAATTTTAAGGGGGAGAGGGCAGAAGGGATGGTTTCAGATAAAGGGCTTGCCATTCAAGCATGAAGATCTAAATTTGATCCCTGAGAACCCCTGTAAAAAAACAAATCTGAGTACAGCAGTGAGTGCCTGTAATCTCAGCACTGGAGAAGTGCAGACAGGAGGGTCCCAGGGCTTGCAGACTAGCTGCTCAAGTCAGTGAGCCCCAGATTCAACTATAAGGAAGAGAACAAAAACACACATCAGCCTAGGCGTCCACAGATACACACACACACAGGGTGGGGTCTGGGCATACCATTAGCTCCCCAAAGGGCATCTGCCTCTGAATTACCTAGACTAATGACACACTCTGTCTCACTTTTCCTACTACCACTTTCCCTACTAGAACTTTCGGTACTCCCATGACACAACTACATAGACCCCTCTCACTAGATCCCACCCACCTCTTGCCCACTCAGAGCTCCTGCTGCAGTCATTCCCCTGCATGATGTGTTCCCTCTTTTCAACTAGCACTTTCTTGTCAATACACAAACAAGTTTCTTTAAAAATTCTTCTCTGCCTCACATATTCTTCCAGACAATACCCAGGTTTCTCCTTTCCCTTAAAGCAAAACTCCTTACATGAGTCTCTGTATTCATCATCTCTAACTGCTCTACCACTCTCTCAGACCTTTCAATTGTTCCTATTAATCTACAGAAACTATATTGGTCAAGGTCATCAGGAATCACCATGTTGCTAAGCATTATGACCAACTCACACTTCTTAATTCACTATACTTAACGCAACTATTCCTGTGTTCCTTAAAATCTCATCTTCAACAATGTCCCATTCCCCACTACTCATCCTAGTAGTGAGGACTGAGACTGGGGCCTCACACATGCTAGGCAAACCTTCTTCCACTGATTCTCACTCCTAGCCCCAACCCCTATCTTCAGACCAAAAGCAGAAAAGAGTCCCCTTTAGAGGAGGGAACTAGCTACAACTTGAATGTTTGGATTTTCCTGGTTTCTGCTGACTACTGAAGCCCAAGAAGACATCCCCAAAAGAATTCAGAAATATGAAAATGTCTTTGTTATGTGGCTTCTGTCTACCTATGTCACTAAGACCCAGCTCTTACCTGAACAGAAGAATAAGGCATGCATGCCTAGCACACAGAAACATTTTACTTCCTTCATAGCTTGCTCCTTTATTTCAGACATCAGAACACTGATAGCTGGCAAGCCCACTGAGTTGGGAAGGGATGCTTTGTTCTGATCCTAAACCTGAAAGCTCCTTTTTCACAGGTGTGGTATGTGGCTAATGGAAACATTCTGAGTGCCCTGAAGAGGATCTTGAGAAACATGTCTGAATCACCTGATACTTATTTTTAAAGTAAAGATTTATGAGCTTCCCTCCACACCTGCTTCAGCTTCCTTCCATAAACCTGAAATGGAGACAGGGTTCAGGGGTCTTTCATTCTGTAAGCAAAGATTCCTTTCAGCTAAATACAAAGATGCTCCATGATACTTAAAGTCAGGGCTCCAGTGAGCATTTCTGTACCAAGACTACGGCTGGCAAAAAGCATGTGTCCCCCTCTAGTAAGATCATCTATCATCCATACACAACTTCCGTGGTGATCACTCCGGGGTCAGACATGATCCAATGCCTGCTTTTTTCTGACAGAAATCTTTCCAATAACAACACTTTTGTCCAGGCCTGATGGTATACACTATTAACCCCAGCCCTGCCCTCAAGAGGCAGAGGCAGGTAGATCTCTCTGAGCTTGAAGCAAGCCAGGACTACATTGTAAGACTGTCTCAAAAAGAGAAAAAAAAAATTTTTTTTTTCTTCCTTCACAGGAATTAGAGACACTGGTCAAAGTGGTGTGTTAAAAGGTTACCCAACAGTAATTTTCAGAAGAGAGGTAAGACAAGGAGAACTAAAGTACTCTTCATTCTGAATTGGGCCCTTTCCTAACGGCTCATGATCACCTGTTCTGAAACCAGCGCAGACATTGTTCCTGTCAACTGCCTATTGTGAATGATGCTGCAATGAACACAGGAGCAGATAACTCTTCAAGATACAGATTCAGATCCTTCAGATACAAGCCCAGAATTAGGATTGCTGAATCAAAGGATACAGTGAACTCCTAAGAACTAGGGTAGAAGTAACTTACTTTCCCACTCTGGGTGATACCCAGGTTGGCATCACCCACCAACTGATCAAGGAGGGTGTGGCAAAGCAGGTAGCTTCCCCATCTCCTCGCCCTAGACCAGTGGTTCTCAACCAGTGGGTCAAGACAACCTTGGGAGTTGAACAACCCTTTCACAGGCTCCTACAACCATCAGAAAACATAAACATTCACATTATGGTTCATAACAGGAGCAAAATTATAAAGTTGAAATGAAAATTTTATGGTTGGTAGTCACTACAAAATGAGAACCTGTATTAAAGGGTCACAAGCATTAGGAAGGTTGAGAACCACTGCCCTAGGCCCAGCCACATACACCCCACACTAGCATCGCTGAGGGGATACCAGAGACTGTATGAAAAGAAAGCTACAGTTTAACTTCATGTAAGACAGAGTAGTAGAGGAGTCTTTGGCAAAACATCTCTACTATATTGTTAATGAAAGCAGTTTCTATAATGAGCAACCAAAAGTACCAGTGTGAGAAGATCTAATGAGATGTCAACTCTCATAATCAGAGAGAAAAGTAAACCATTAGTTTGGATGTGGGTCTCTGATGATGCGTTTTCTCAAAGGCCTTTGGAACAAATATCTCTGGTATATTAGCTGTTAATATTCTGTTTATACTACCTGACAAAATATGCCTGGGATAATTTTATTTAAAAATTTTTACCCAAGTATTATTAAAAATAGGTAGCAAATCTTTGGAGAGGATTGAAAAAAAAAAAGAAAGAAAGAAAATATAGCAAATCTCAAGTTATATCTGAGTGCCATTTCAGCCTCCCTGAATTAAGAAACGCAGCACAACACGACCCTTTCAGCTCCCAAACAGGCACATCCTCAGATGTGCCACTGGCACCTTCCTGAGTCCCCTGGAGGGCAGAAAATGTGGAAGGTTATGTTCTTCACCAGGGCTCTGGTGCAGTGAGGTCAGGAGATACTGCACCCAGTGGGGCTCACAGTGGTAGGACTGGAGACCCAGAAAGACAGGGCTTGCAGTGCGCTACAGTCACCGCATTTGCAAATGCAGTGGTGCTGATGAACCTCAACTGGGAGATTGTGAGTGCAAACAAACGCCAAGCCCGTTCCACTCTTCAGCCTTACGTTTAGGGTTTCTGCTTTGTTTTCCATGGCCTCCTATACTCTGAGATGAGAAAAGTTTAGAAGAAAATTAATTACCATACCTTTGTTCAGAGAGAAAAGCACTTAACATCACTTTGCTTTTAGGCACTCCTACTCACAGACAACCCCTCTGTCTCTTACTGGTTCCCCCTCACCTCTAAGTGCTAATGTTCCAGTGTTTCTGGGCATCACTGCTCTCTACTTCTCAAATCCACTCCCTGGTCTGTACCCCATCATAGAAGAACTATCTAGTTATACCCAGGTACCCTGGTGTGTTTCACCAGTATGGTGTCAAAAAGGGAACTCCAGACCTCCCATTACAAACTTTCAGTTCTCTAATATGGCCTGTCCCCAGTCTCACTAATTGTAGCTAGTAGCAATTTCACCTTTCAAGTCTCCTAAACCAAATCAGAGCCATCTTTATCTGTGCTGTATGAAGAAAATACACTCTCATACTCCACCTCCAAAACCCTAGTGTTCACACTTGTTGAACTTCCACTGCTGCCACCCCATCTATGTCACCCCCACACGTGCACCTACATTACTGTAGTAATTTCCCATTTTCTCCTTCATTCTTCCCACCTTTACTCCTTCCAATCTATTTCAAACACTGTGGTCAGATTAAGGCAATTAAATCTAAATCAAGAAATCAAGCCTTGTTTTGCTATAACTGAGTGAGCCCCTATAACTCGTTTTTCACTAATTAAAATTAAAAACTAGGTAAAACAAAACCTGAGAACCCTGAAAAGTACACAAAATGGGTAAATTGTTAGTATTACGTTTTAAATTTTAAATTTAAATTTATTTTGGGAAGAAACCCTTACATGAAAGAAGAGGACAATTTCCAGGAGCTGGTTATCTTCTTCTATGGGGAAAGGGTGGTTCCTAAGACTGGAACTTGGGTCATCAGACTTAGTGGCAAGTATCTTTTACCTTAGTCACCTTGCCAGCCCTGAACTAGTATTTTTTTTTTAATTTTTATTATTAGTTACATTTTACTAACTCTGTATTCCAGCTGTATCCCGCTCCCTCATTCCCTCCCAGTCCTACCCTCCCTCCCTCATCTCCTCCCTGCCCCTGTCCAAGTCCACTGATTGGGGAGGACCCACTCCCCTTTTATCTGACCTTGTTTTATCAGGTTTTTTCAGGACTGGATCCTGAACTACTATTTTATGAAGCTATTATGTTTCGTGACATGCCAGCAAGTTACGTGTTTATGAAAACTATAACACATACTTTATTTCATAAAAGCATAAAATTGGGTAGGGAGATGGCACAGTGAGCAAAGCACCTGGAGCCAAGTGTGAGAATCTGAGTTTGGATTCCTCAGAGTACATATAAAAAACAGTCAGGACCATAATCCCAATGCTCAGAAGGCAGGGATCCTCCAGGGCAAACTGGCTAGACTATTCAAACTGTCAAGTTACAGGTTCAGCAAAGAGACCTTGTTGCAGGAAATAAAATGGAGAGTGACTGAGGAGAGCATTGATACTAACCTCTGGGCTCTATATGTGCGCCAATACACACACACACACACACACACACACACACACACACACACAACTAACAAAAAAGTACTTAGCATTTCCTGTGGGAGGCACAGAGGTTCTTGTGCTTACAGATAAGCACTAGGAAACCAATGTTAAACACCCAGGGAGTGTGTGTATATCTTCAAAATGAGAGATGTATAATAACCTGTTTTCCATCCAGAAGATTGGGAGCAGACATGGTTAACAGCCTGGTGACCTCTGTGTGGCTGAGACCAAACTAGATCCTCACCCAGACCCCTATCATGACCTTGTCAATGTACAGAAACCATCTTTATAGAAGGTGTCACATGTACTTTACAAAAGAGTGTCGATGTAGTTATGCCTTAAGTTTATTGTGTACATGGACTGAATTAATTATCACCAGGAAATTTTTCACCAGTGTTCTTGCTAAAATATGCCTAAAATGAACTACTCAGGGTCAGACTCTTGAAGTTTGAACCAACACTGGCTACTTGCTCATGTTGAACTGAACTACCTTCTTGCTTCCTGTGAATCATTACTCTTCTGGCCATGGTTACAAAGATCCCCATAAACATGAACATGGGTAAATTACTACCATTAAAATCTAACAGTTCTAAAAGTATAATGTTCATAAATGTTTACAACCTTCTTTACCAGATAACTAGGTACTAATGTTTATGTGGTTCTGTCAATAAATTTATTTTTAAATTAATGAAAACTACAAATATTAAAGTAGAAAAGGAAGACAAACAGAATCAATAGTATTTATCAAATGTTAAAGACTACAATAGGTACCATGAGGACTGTAAAGGAAATAAAACTGGCAATAATTAAGATAGTATACTACTATAAAATACTCCAGAATGCATGTTATATATTCAGATTCATTTCATACTATACTAGGTTCAATCCTGTGCCCTCAAAAAAATAATAAGTCAGACATTGTAGCACACACCTTTAATCCCAGCACTCAGGAGGTAGAGGCAGGCAGATCTCTGAGTTCAAGGCCAGCCTGGTCTACAAAGCAAGTCCAGGACAACCCAGGCTACACAGAGAAACCCTGTCTCTAAAAACCAAATAATAACAACAACAATCATTTGAGTCTCACAAATGACACTGAAATAATACTAAGAAGTGAACACAACTCCTATATGGCTTGGTTCTGGAAACCTGACTGGTGCAATGAAGAAAGAACAAGCGGACTGACAGGCAGACAGACACACTCACACAAACAGACAAGACAAAAAAACAGAGACACAGCAGACACACACAATCACAGATACAGACACACAGAGACAAGACAAAAACAGATACAGCAGAGAGACACACAAACAGACACACACAGAGATGGGCTGTGTATGCTCTGGTGAAGAGCACCTACTAACAAAACAACAAGTTATGGAGATGGTGTGGTCAGCTAGTCTCAGTAGGCGAAGGGGAGCAATTTCAGGTTACAGTCTTCTGGGAGGAGGAAGCTACAAGTGCTGGCTTTTGCAAACATTGTTTAGTCTGGTAAAGACTCATATGTGGAGTAGAGGAAGGCTTTGCCATTTTCCTCCAAGCATCACCTGGAGGAAGGCCCCACCACTCCTATGGTATGAGACATCAGGGCATTTTCCATGGCCTGTTGGTGTCATACAATACACACTCACTCAGGACTTCATCTGCTCTTTACACATGCACTCAAAGCTTCCTCAGCTCTCACAACTTTCACCAACTAGAGACTGGAAAACGAAGGTTAAGTAACTTGTCCAAGTCACACTCTGAACAACTGGTAAGCTGGGTTCTAGAGCACCATTCCACAGTGCTGCTCATATGCACGAAGTACAACAGTAGATTAGCTTCATTCCACCTGAAGCTCTTCAATATAATCACACACGTACAGGCCGAGCAAAGACCACAAAAGCTTGTGATACCTGGTGTTCCAATGGCTTCTACATATGAGAAAATCATATTCGCTTTTCCTTTCAGAGAATTTTCTATGCTGTGAAGGTCTTCCAGGGTGGTGACATATTTTACTTCGTTAAAAAGCAGAGCACTAAAATAAACACAGAAAAAAAACTAGTGAAAATTTTGTTATGGACTTAGCTACGAATGTAAAAACTCTAAGGTACATAAGTTTTTTTTTTTTAAGTGTAACTTCTTTAAACAAACTGTGAGTTATGAGAACACAATCCTTCTAACAGCACTCAAGTGAACTTTGTCTCTAGGTCATTGTCCTTCCTTGAAAACACAACCCGGACACTTGTAAGAAATTCTCTACCACAATCACCTCCATAGATTTAAACTGCATTTGCTCACATCCTAGTGTGATGTGGGTCTCTCAGGCTTGAATACAGGTGAGCCGTCCATGTATCCATCTTAGGGGCTTCTTTCTAAGAGCCCCTAAGCCATTCATGACCTGGACGTTACCTGCCTTTCCACCGTCAGTGTGTGCCCTCTGCTCAGTCTGACACACTGCATGCACACCCCTCTGCTGGGAGCTATGCCTTCGCTCCATCTGATACACTTGATCTGTCCCAAAGCTTTCCTGTTGTTCCTGTGTCCATAGCCTGCAGCTTTTCCTTCCTGCTCCATTATTTAATTCCTTCATGGCACATACTGTAATTTACTGTTTATTCCATTTCCTTGTTAATTCCTCATCCCCACTAAACATCTCTTTAAGGCAAGGACACTGTTATTTTATCAGTGTATCTGCAGTAAGTATAAAATATAGTACATAGTCCGTAATCAAACATTTATTGAAATAACAAAAGAAAACAGCAGGGCCTGCTTCGTTCTGAGAAATGGAAATTCAAATCACTGGAGAGCCAAGCATGACACATACATGTAACCCCAGTGGTTACAAGAGGATCGTGAGTGTGAGGTCAGCATGGGCCACAGAAAGAGAGGGAGAGAGAGGGAGAGACAGAGAGCATGCCAGTAATGTCAAGTTTATTCATAAATACATTTACTGATTAAGGCACCAGAACAGAACAGCAAGCCTGTTTCTTCCTTGGTCTTATGAAGACAGGGCCTCACTCTGCGGTTTAGGCTGGTCTAGACCTACTTTACTATGAAGCCCAAGTGGACCATGACTTTACAGCAATCCTTCTGCCTCTCTCTGCCTCCCAAATACTGACTGGAGCATAGGCCAACATGTCCATCTTACTAACAAATACTATTTCTTCATCCAAATAATCCTTGTATTTTGTTGTCTATTTCTATATAAGCTGTTCCCATAAGCAAGAGTTTTCATTTAATCTCTACACACATATTTTTATTAAACTAATTAAAGATGATTTTGGAAAGCTTTTCCAGACCCATATACTTAAATAAAAGTTCATTCAAATGCTTTTCAATAAGTAATTCAAATACAGTTTTCTCTCACAGAAAAACAGTCTCCAACCTTTTGAAACTGACAACCTTTTATAAGAGTAATGATTACTGATGTCATTTGTTTACATGTTATCCTATCAATAGCTGCCAAACTTTATTAGCATATTCGCAAAACTTTATTTTTAAAAATTCCAAAACAAAAAAAAAAATTTCAGAAAAACAGCAGTACTGATTTACATTTTTGCAAATCTCTTTAATATGAAACCAAATCTGCTTCTACATTCAATGTGAGGTGGTACTGTATGTCATATAGCCTCTGGGAACCCACCTGTTCATGAGAAAATGCTGCTGAAAAGGGCAAGTTATACCTTTTTTCATAAGAATATTTTGACTTGGTAATCACCCTGAAAGTGCTACTTCAGACTATGTTAGCTTAAATATTTCACTATTTACTACAGATTTATGAAATATTCCAATTTAATACACAGTCCCCAGGGTAGCCTCTTGTTTTGTTTTTGAGAAGTTCTGAGCAGCACTCACGGTGCTAGTATTTCACATGCTTACATCTTCAGCAATACTACCGAAGCACTGTGGTTTACACAGGAAGTGGGGTGGCTCCAGACTATTTTGCCAGTTCCTGCTAGAGCGGAGATTCAAATCCAATCTCCTGACAGTAACAAATGGGCATTCTGATGTTACCACCCATTATTTCAGGGACTGGGGAAAAATGGGTCTTGCTAGTTAGCCCAGGCTAGCCTCAAACCTGCAGGGATTCTCCTGCCTCATTCTCAAGTGCTTAATTACAAGCATTTACCACCACACCCAGCCATCACTGACCACTCTTACGAATGGCAAACCAAGTTGGAAAAGGATGGTAGCCACTGATGGGTCGGGGGCAACCCAGACCTACACCTTTAGGCTACTAGCCCAGAATTATCCCTGAAATACTTCAAAACAAGATGAGTATCATCCAGTGCGCTTACAAGGATGCTTTTCCAAACTCCCTGCTACAAGGCTTGGCTAAATGACCTGAAATCACTGGCTTGAGATTCTGGATCAGAAGCAAGCGATACAAAGAACCATGGACAGTACAGAATTCCTCTGAGAGATGGTGGCAGCAATGCTTCAAAGGCAGCCATGTGACTGTTGCTGAGCCCCCCCCCCCCCCAGTGCAGGGAGTGAAGACTTGCATCCAGCATGCAGTAGCAGTACAAGAGTCCTCCCCACATGATTCTAACTATAACTCTGGACTGCACAACGTTTTAGTCTAGGTCTCCTGCCCTTCTAGGGCAAATGAGATATCCTATATCCACTAGATAGGAATATCATTAACCCTGTTTTAAAGACCAGGCTATGGGGTTTGGAGAGGTTATATTGCCCTAATGTCCCAAAGCTTATTAAGTAGTCATTATCCATGAGATAATAATAATCAAAACTAATGACATTCATAATCTAATGATCTCTATGATTTTTCCCAGTGGCTTCCTGGCTTTATTATATTCCTTAATAGGCTGATTTCCAGATCATGAGCATGTCTAGGGAGCTCAAAAATCCATCCAACACGCCTGTCTTTATTCCTTCACTTTGGTTCTAAAGGCAAAAACTGCTGACAGAAATGGGTTAAGGAGAAAGTCTCTCTTGGGATTTCTCACTTTGATGATGGAATGAGACACCCTAGGACAATCAGATGGGGGATTCTTTCTGCCCTAAAAGGTCTTCCACCCTTTGGTGATGCTTTTCCCCAGACTCTTCCTATCAGAATCAACCATGGAGATAAGACAAGCAGATAAGACAGGAACTGTTAAAACAAAGGAACCAACAGCCTTCTTTTCCCTTTTATTACAGTGCAGCTCACTCATTCCTTTCTCAAAAATTATCCGTCTGTCAGAATTCAAATTCTTAAAAAAATTTTTTTTCATTAAAACAGTATATGCTAATTTATCATCCAAAACCTTCCAACAAGAGGAATGGGGAGTAGAAAATGATTATTTTTATGTGTGTGATGGAATTTTCTTTGCTCATGCTTTGTTTTATATTTTTGAGATATGATTTAATAGGTAGCCCAAGAGAGCTTGGCCTTTACTCCAGGCTGGCTCAAACTAATTCTTTCTTATTCAAGTCCCTGCATGCAGGGGGTAGAGACAGCACAGCATAACACCCCCAGGAAGTTACTATTATCTAAGCCACTACCTGATTCACATTTAAAGTGATAGGTTGAAAACTAGAAGCCACCTCTGAAACACAAATTGAAAGTACAGACACAAATCCCAATTATTCTATAGTACCTACATAATTTCCTAGCAACTTATTCCTTAGAAAACAATTATGGGCCCTTAATGGGAGATTTCTTCTCCTTCCATACTCAGCAATTAAAGCATGAGCTTTCCAAATTCATGTCCATCAACTCACTGTGAATTGAGCATCTAAGAGATTTCACACACCACATTATGTTCCCAGGTCACAGTTTGAAAACCTAACATTAATACTAATTAACAGCTCTATGACAAATTCACAACCAAGGCAAGCAACCTTTTATTCTAAATGTCCAATAAAAACTCCCTCATCAACTTGTATATTCTTAAGTAATGCTTTAATTACACTTTAAATATAATATCAAAAGCCCACATAACTGGTGCTCCAAAGTATCTAATTTATAAATAATTAATATGAACATTATCCTAAATTTATATTCTCTGATTTTATCACTTTCTTTCCCGCCTGTATTTTTTTTATATTTAAAAAAAAAGGAATTTATTAAAAATCTTGACAATTGACAAAGCAGCAGAGTTGAAGAAAAACTGTGGCTCATTGTTCTCACGCAAAACATCTACATAGCAAACAAAAACAAATGCTTGGAGGAAAAAGTAACAGCACAGCTCACATTTTTGAAGCAAATAAATATAAATACTCTCAAATGCAAGCTTTGGTTCATGGTCAAATGTTTTGAAAACAACATGGACATCTTGACCAAAAATAACTGACAGGTTGGCTGAAATTAATATAACTTAGCATACACACTGATCAATTTTGCACACCCCCAGAGAGAAAGGTAAACACCAACCCAGCAATAAACTTTTCCGTCACTGGTGCAACAGCAGCACAAAGGTGGGATAACCAACCTCTATCTGACTGAACTTAAGGCCCAGTCTAAAAGATGGAACCATGTCTGACACTGTTCAGGTGCTCAAGAACTAAGACTAGATAGTCCATGAACCTAGAGGAAAACCAAGCACTATTCTGCTACAGGAACAGCAATAAAATGACTACTACCAACGTTCTGCTATATACATAGATCAGTATCTTGCTCAGTCACCATCAAAGAAGCTTCCGTCTACAGTAGATAGGAACAAATACTAACCCTCAATTGTTCATTGCTCAGAGACTGAGACCTTGGAACACCCAGTCCTTAATGGATGTCTCAATCAAAGCCCTCCCTTCAGAGCAGAGGGAACTTTTAGGGAAGACGTGGTGAAAAGATTCTAAGAGCCAGTAGGGACAGAGGACACCAAGGAAACAAGTCTTCTAAACACAACATGACTGACACACATAAGAACTCATGAATATGGTGGCAGGATGCACAGCATTTGCACAGATCCAAGTCAGATGGGGTCTCACTACTGAGAGGGGGAAGTGGACACAAGCTACCAACCCTAACCAAGAAGCTATCTCCAACTGGCAACTACTTGCTAAAGAAAAATTAGTTTTTTCCAATAGAGTCTT